GAGAGAAGGTCTGAAAGTAGTCAACTCCCTGCCGCTGACTGAAGCCACGAGCAACGTACCGCGCCTTGAAGACAGGTGGAGAGCCCGGCGGCCGCTTCACCCTGAAGATCCACATGCCACTAACGATGTTCGCCCCAGGAGGGGGAACTGCGTCAATGTAGGTGCCTGTGGACTTCCAGGAAGCCATCTCTGCATCCATAGGTGCCTGCCACTGAGACGAGTAGGGACCCTCTACGGCCTCCGCGTAAGAGCGCGGAGTCGGGATGTCTAGTGCATCCGGGTCTCCCTCAGGAGCAAGCAGTACAGACGCGAGATGAGGTGAAGCAGCAGCCAGACACTGTAACTCCTCCTGCATGTCCTCTAGGACGTCCGTGCTAAGAGCACACTCACCCTCCACGGAAGGAGGACAGTCAGACGCAGACTCAGCAACAAGACTAGCAGCGTAGTCTAGACGACAGCGAGCAGCAAAGTCGACGAGCTCAGCGATAAGAGCAGACGCAGTAGTGGACTCAAAAGAGGGGTCAGTGACGACAGTAGCAAGGAGACGCGTGACAGTAGGACTGGCAGCACGAAGAGAGTCCGACTCAGGGTCGGCAAGCGCAGGAAGAGAGGACTCAGGAGGAGAAGGCAAAGGGGCACGCAGAGGAGCAGTGGACGGACGCAGAGACATCTGTTGCGTGCCAGGGACAGGAGGAGGACGCTGACGCGAACCGCGACCACTAGTGCGAGCAGCATGAACAGGCGACGCAGGACGAGACGCAGGATCACGACGCTCAGCAAGAACTCCAGTAGGACTAGTGTAAGGAGAGGGAGCAGGCAGTGGAGAGGAAGGCTCCAACAGTGACTGCGACTGGACAGGCTGTGGACACTCTACCGGAGGAGAAAGACCAAGAACCTGCTGCAGGAGCGGAACGAAGTACGGCCGAGGCCGCGCGGCAACTCCAGACTCAGCAGGGACAGCACCAGCACCCTCAGCGACAGCACCAGCGCCACCAGCACCTCCAGCAGCAGGACCTCCAGCAGCACCAGCAGCAGAACCACCGCCAGGACAGACAGCAGCTGTCTCAGCACCAACACCCTCAGCAGCTCCAGCTCCAGTAGGACCCGCAGGCCCAGCAGCTCCGGGACTGGCAGGACCAGCACCATCGGCGGTCGAAGAAGCTCCAGCTCCAGCAGCACGCCTCCAGCGGCGAGCAAACCACTCGCGCAGCTCCTGTGGAGAGAGGGGCTCCCGGCGAGACGCAGCAGCAGGAGAAACCCCAGGCTCAGCAGCTCCAGACGCAGCACCCCCAGGCGCAGTAGCTCCAGACTCAGCACCCCCAGGCTCAGCAGCTCCAGGCACAGCACCCCCCGGCTCAGCACCCCCAGGCGTAGCACCTCCAGTCTCAGCACCCCCAGGCTCAGCACCCCCAGGCTCAGCACCCCCAGGCTCAGCACCCTCCGCAGTAGCACCCCCAGGTCCAGCACCCCCAGGCTTAGCACCCCCAGTAGCAGCACCTCCAGACTCGGCACCCCCGCGCACAGCACCCCGAGAGTCAGCACCCCCAGGCTCAGCACCCGCAGCAAACACCTGACCCGACGCGGCTACCTGACCAGACGCAGGAGGAGGAGACGGAACAGTGAGTGTGTACAGGCTCGACCCTGGACCACGTGTGAACGTGGTCAGGTGTCGACCCGTGTCCGCGTCCGTGCAGTGGGTGACCCGTCGGCGCGCAGGGGTGAACTGGTCAACCCCTGCATCCTGTAGGTCAGCACCCGCCACCAAGTTCGTAGAGAATGAGGGGAGGTAGAGACCGGACAGGGCGCCAGACGGGACCGCAGGGCACGGCAGGACAGTGGAGTAGCGAGCCAGAACAGGACCCCCAGAGGGGTCTGCCAAGGAGACCGCCACTGGCCGACTAAGCGGCGTGAGAGAAGTGCGGTCTCGAAAGAAGGAGCGAGACGCCCCGGAGTCAAGACTGAAAGTGAGAGAGGGTGAAGTCGACACAGTACCTGAGAGAGCAGACTCACCAGCACCTGAGGACTCAGACTCACTGGCACCTAGAGCAACAGCCTCACCAGCACCTGGAGCACCAGCCTCAACAGCACCTAGAGCCGCAGTACCAATGCCCGGGTCGAGCGGGAAACACCGGTAACAGTCACCCTCCTCACTAATAGTCACAGCATACATGGCAGCAAGAATAGCATCAAAGTCAAGATCAAAGATAGCTACTCCCGCCCTAGACAGCTGGTCCCAGCGAGGGATCTCAGAGGCGTCAGGAAACTGGCGGCGCCAAGCGTCAGTCAGGCGGCCGAAGCAACGCTGGGTGGAGTGTGGACCACCACACTGCTCACCCGCACGGTCGCCAGTACGCAGGACGTAAGTGCACGGACCAGCACCCCCACCCCGCTCACGCACAGAGTACCACTCACGGAGCTGCTGCGGGGAGAGGGTCTCCTGACCACGCTGCTGCTGCTGGCGCTGACCACCACCGGAGCCACTCCTCCTCGACGCGCCACGAACTCCGCCGCCTCCTCCGCCGCCGCCGCCACCACCTCCGCCGCCACCGCCACTCCCACCGTCGCCGCCGCCACCGCCGCCTCCGCCTCCACCCCCACTACCACCGCCGCTGCCGCCCCCGCCTCCACTGCCTCTGCCGACACCTCCACTCCCGCCACCACTCCCGCTACCACTCCCGCTACCACCCTCACCTCCGCCGCTGCCTCTACCGCCGCCTCCACCGCCCCCGCCGCCTCCACCACCGCCCCTGCCCCCCTTGCTCTTGCCAGAGCGACGTCTCCCGCTGGGGGCAGACGCCGCACCGACCGACTCAAAGCCAACAAGGTCGGCCGTAGCAGCAGAGGCGACAGAGGGCAGGAGGGGGGAGGGGGAACACCCCTCAAAGATGGGGGTGCGCGGGTCACCCCGAGAGGCCCCTACAGCGAGAATGCTCTTCTCGGCTGCTAGGAGGGACTTCGCGAGGAGCTCGACAGTGAGAGTGGTGGGGCAGACTGCGAGTAGGTCGTCCCTGACTCCGCGAAGGGAGTCAGGGAGGCGGGTGACAATGTAGTAGAGAGTGAAGTACTGGGGGGGGGGGTTCTTGGCGCAGAACTCAGCAGGAAGTGCAGCGCGGAAGCGAGCGTCACTAGTGCGCAGGTGGGTAATGAGGTCGGCTACTGTGGCAAAAGCAGCAAGGTCGGGAAAGAGGTACGGTAGCATGAGGCGGCTCAGTGCAGCAGTGGCAGGGGTGGAGTAGCGTGCGATAACGGCGTCGTACAAGGTGTGAGCACTCTTGTACGACCCAAAGTGCGCACGCTCAGCGGGAGGGAGGTGGCGACGCACAGCAAGACGTGCAGCAGCATCGCGTGTGGCCCTCTGTGAGCGAACAGTGGCATCCTCAGTAGCAGCAGGGGCGGGAGAGGCACCAGAAGTGAGATCAAAGAGAGAGAGTCCGTCAGCTCTGTCGCACTGTAGGAAAAGCAGTAGGTCGTCTACCCACACGTCAAAGTCGATGGCTCTGCCCTCAGCGTCAAAGGCGAGGACACTGGGGGTAGCCATGACAGCAGTAGAGAGAGGGCAGTGCGCAGAGTAAAGCTCAGTGCTCACCAGACAGGGCAGTGCAGGGAGGGCTCGGGCGGCTCGGGCGGCTCGGCGGCTCGACTGCTGGGCGGCTCGGGCGACTCGGCGGCTCGGGCGGCTCGGTCGGCACGGCAGCTGGGGCGGCTCGGCTGCTGGGGCGGCTCGGCTGTTGGGGCGGCTCGGCTGCTGGGGCTGCTCGGCTGCTGGGGCGGCTCGGCTGCTGGGGCGGCGGGGCCGGGAGGTGCAGTGGCGGGGCAGTCAGGTGCAGCGGCGGGCCGTCAGGCGCAGCGGCGGGCCGGCAGGTGCAGCGGCGGGCCGGCAGAGGGGACGGCGGGGCCGTCAGAGGGAACGGCGGGGCCGTAGAGTGCAGCGGCGGGCCGGCAGGTGCAGCGGCGGGGCCGTCAGGTGCAGCGGCGGGCGGTCAGGTGCACCGGCGGGCCGGCAGGTGCAGCGGCTGGCCGGCAAAGGGGACGGCGGGGCCGTCAGGTGCAGCTGCGGGGCCGGCAGAGGGGACGGCGGGGCCGTCAGAGGGAACGGCGGGGCCGTAAGGTGCAGCGGCGGGCCGTCAGGTGCAGCGGCGGGCCGTCAGGTGCAGCGGCGGGCCGGTAGGTGCAGCGGCGGGCCAGCAGAGGGGACGGAGGGGCCGTCAGGTGCAGCTGCGGGGCCGGTAGAGGGGACGGCGGGGCCGTCAGAGGGAACGGCAGGGCCGTACGGTGCAGCGGCGGGGCCGGCAGAGCAGGCGGCGGGGCCGCGTCTGAGCGGGCGGCGGGGCCGCGTCGTAGCGGGCGGCAGGGCCGCGTCCGAGCAGGCGGCGGGGCCGCGTCCGAGCAGGCGGCGGGGCCGCGTCGTAGCGGGGCCGCGACTAGACGGCTGGGCCACGACTGGACGGCGGGGCCGCGACTGGACGGCGGGGCCGCGAAGGAGAGGCGGGGCCGCTCGAAGGGTGGGCGGGACCGCTAGGAAGGGCGGCGGGGCTGCGTGAAGGGCAGCGGGGCCGCGTGGGGAAGGGCGACTCGGGGGGTCGCTAAAAAAAAAACGATCGCGCGCCTCAGGGCGCGCTTCGGTGGGCCCTAGGCGAAGTTCCCACAGGGAACCCGCTCTATACCATGTGAAAGTAAGGAACAGGAATGAAATGACTAAGTGAGAGTTGGGTACAAATACAAACCCTAGAGAGCTGTACCCCATATGTGCTACCCCACTATAGCCTACAACAGCTATGTCATATATATCTGACACTCACCAGCACCTAGAGCAGCAGCCTCAATGCCCGGGTCAGGCGGAAAACACCAGTAAGAGTCACCCTCATCACTAATAGTCACAGCATACATTGCAGCAAGAATAGCATCATAATCAAGATCAAAGATCGCAACACCTGCCCTAAACAGCTCGCCCCAGCGAGGGATCTCAGTAGCGTCGGGGAACTGATGACGCCAAGCGTCCTTCAAGCGGCCGAAGCAGCACTGGGTGGAGTGCGGACCCCCACACTGCTCACCCGTGCGGTCGCCTGTACGTAGAACATAGGTACAGTGGCCAGCACCTCGCCCCGCTGACGAGCAGTGTACCACTCACGAAGCTGCTGGGGCGAAGGGGTCTCACGAGTGCGTTGCTGCTGCTGCTGCTGGCGCTGACCACCACCTGAGCCGACCCTCTGCGAAGAGCCGCCCCGACCAGCTCCACCTCCGCCGCCACTACCTCCACCACCGCCTCCACCTCCACCACTTCCGCTCGCACCGCCACCACCGCCGCCTCCTCCGCCTCCACTGCCGCCACTAGTGCCCCCACTCACGCCACCACTCCCACCACCACCCCCACCCCCTCCGCCGCCTCCACCTCCGCCTCCACCGCCCCCGCCAGCTCCTCCAGCGCCCTTGCCCCCCTTGCCCTTGCCTGAGTGGCGTCTCCCGCTAGGGGGAGACGCCGCGCCGACCGACTCAAGACCAACGAGGTCGGCCGCAGCAGCAGAGGCAACAGAGGGCAAGAGGGGGGAGGGGGAGCACCCCTCAAAGACAGGGGTACAAGGGTCACCACGAGAGGCTCCTACAGCAACTTTACTCTGTTCTGCTGCTAGGAGGCGCTCCTCGAGGAGGTCAACGGTGAGGGTGGTGGGGAAAACAGAGAGGAAGTGGTCCCTAACCGAGCGAAGGGTGTCAGGGAGCCAGGTGACTATGTAGTAGAGGGTGATGTACATTGGGGGGGGGTTCTTGGCGCAGAACTCAGCAGGAAGTGCAGCGCGGTAGCGAGTGTCACTAGTGCGAAGGTGCGTAATGAGGTCAGCGACTGTGGGAAAAGCGGCGAGGTCAGGGAAGAGGTACGGCAGTATGAGGCAGCTAAGGGCAGCAGTGGCAGGGGAAGAGTAGCGTGCAACGACAGCGTCGTACAAGGTCTTAGCACTCTTGTACTGACTAAAATGCGCGCGCTCAGCGGTCGGTAAGTGGTGGCGCACAGCAAGGCGAGCAGCAGCATCGCGCGTGGCCCACTGTGAGCGAACAGTGGCGTCAGCATCAGCAGCAGGGGCAGGAGAGGCACCAGAGGTGAGGTCAAACAGAGAGAGAACGTCTGCCCTATCGCACTGTAGGAAAAGCTGCAGATCATCTACCCAGACCTCAAAGACAACAGCCCGACCCTTAGCGTCAAAGGTGAGAACACTGGGGGTGGCCATGACAGCAGTAGACTGGCAGAGAGAGCAGTGGGGAAGGGCAGTGCAGTGGCAGAGGCGCTGCTCTTACCAGGCAGGTGGGGCGGGCAGAGGCAGGCCGGCAGGGACAGGGCCGCGACTGCAGGGACTGCGGCGTCTCGGCTGCGGCGGCGTGGCGGCTTGGCGGCTTGGCGGCTCGGTTGCAGGGCGGCTCGGCGGCTTGGCGGCTCGGCAGCTCGGCGGCTCGGCGGCTCGGCAGCTCGGCTGCTCGGCGGCTCGGCAGCTCGGCGGCACGGTGGCAAGGGCGGCTCGGCAGCTCGGCAGTGACGGCGGCTCGGTTGCTCGACGGGGCCGGGAAGGGCGGTTGAGGGGCCGAGGAAGGGCGGCAGGGCCGCGAAGGGCGGTGACGGGGCCGCAAGGGGCGGCAACAAGGCCGCTGAAGGGCGGCGATGAGGCCGCTGAGGGGCGGCGACGGGGCCGCTGAAGGGCGGCGCCGAGGCCGCGAAAGGGCGGCGACGGGGCCGCGGAAGGGCGGCAATGGGGCCGCTGAAGGGCGGCGAAGGGGCCGCGGAGGGGCGGCGACGTGGCCGATGAAGGGCAGCGACGAGGCCGAGGGGAGGGGGGACGGCGACGGGGCCGCTAAGGGCGGCTACGGGGTCGCGGCTCGCCGGCGACAGGGCCGAAAGGGGCGGCGACGGGGCCGTAAGGGGCGGCGACGGGGCCTTAAGGGGCGGCGACGGGGCCGTAAGGGGCGGTCGCAGGGCCGTGAGGGGCGGCGACGGGGCCGTAAGGGGCGGTCGCGGGGTCGTGAGGGGCGGCGACGGGGCCGTAAGGGGCGGTCGCGGGGTCGTGAGGGGCGGCGACGGGGCCGTAAGGGGCGGTCGCGGGGCCGTAAGAGGCGGTCGCGCCGCTGTAAGGGGCGGCGACGGGGCCGCTAAGGGGCCACGCGGGGCCTAGAGAGGGCAGCGACGGGGCCTGAGGGGCCGCTAAGAAGGGCGCGACGGGTCGCTAAGGGCGGGACACTAGGCGCGCTTCGGGCAGGGGCGGCACGCGCCCCGAGTAGGAAAAAAAATCTTGGTGGGCCCTAGGAACAGTTCCCACGAGGGAACCTGCTCGATACCATGAGAAACTTAGAACGAGAATAAATTGACTAAGGAATGAAAGTGATACAAATATGAAACCCTAGAATTGTGTACCCCTTAGTATCTAACCCGCTACAACCTACACAGGCTATATCATATAAGTTTGACAGAGAGCTCTACTCGCATGCACCTCTCTAACCATCAGATTGCCTCTGGGTAAGGTGCGCTGAGTGCAAGCGACGGGTGTCAGTGGCAAGTGCGGGTTAGACGGTGGTATGCACAACATGGAGGTGACTCACCTTTTCGAAATCTAACGTAACTGCTGGTGAGCAGGATGAGATCGCGCGTCACACAGACGGTTCGGTGCGTCACACATGTGTTCGCTGCTGCCGTCGTAGAAACTCTAGATCAGGATTGATGCGCCGGAGATTTGATTGCGAGATGCGTGATTGCGAAATGCGTGATTACGAGATGTGTGATTGCGAGACGTGTGATTGCGAGACGCGTGCAGATTTGGCGGGAATAGAGGCGGTGGGTGCCTCTAGTGGGGACGCTCTTCGTCATTAGAGGAATGAAGGTTCTTGGCGTAACGATGGTTGGGTTTTGGTGTTATTGTTATGATGGATGACATGATGCATGCACGCCTTGTTATGGTGGGCCCTCTTTGGATCGCATTAACAAGGAAAATGGGCTACGAATGGGTCTGGGACAAGTGTAACTATACTACAAAGTTACAAACTGATATGAGAACCCCAATTGTTGGGTGGGCAATATGAAGGGTTTAGGGTTCTATTATTACTGTATTGGTTTAGGGTTCTATTGTTACTGTACTTTTTTTCACGGGCAGTTTCATGTTTCAATAGAGATTTCAACAGAGTTTCATCTGCCCAATTGTGTTCTCTGCTGAGACAGCCCTCTAGGAGGTCACATCCGCCCAGTGATAGGCTCCAGGCACAGAACGACCTAGTGTCACGTACCCCCGTACGCAAGCTGTTGAGGCATGTTGAAACGCCTTGAGTTTCCAACATTCCAGCTATGTCATTACAACTCACCCTGCAGTTCGGGTTCCTCCAGGCCAGGCCGTTTCATGTCACCTCATGCCATGTCATGGATGACATGGGTCCCCTGCTCCACACTCACTCACGAACCACCTCTGAGGACAATTCTCAAGGTTACCACATGGTTTGTGCGATAGGGTTACCGCACGTTAGCGACAGTCGGCGAAAGGTGGTTTCTAGTTTTCGCACGCCACCATACCATAGGCCTGATGAGGAAGATGATAGGACATTTCAGATCTGGACCTATGGCATCACATAGTACTACCCACTAAGACTATCATGATTTATAAGTAGTCCTTCATCTCCTCCAGTCCCGTCCAATAACCTGATGCGTTCACATGTTATGCGTGCAATTAATCCCTAAGCGGCGATTGTGGCGGATTTTCAGGCTGCGAAATCGTCGAACCTGGTTGCGTGCGATCCGGGAATCCCAAAGGCGGGAGGTAAGCGATGTCGCGGGACTTGCAATCCCGCCGGTTCTCCAACCGGTCGAATCGCAGCTCACGGCTACCCGTCTACACTGACGACGACGACGACGCGGCGTTCGAAGCCTGGCTGCGGGAGCAAGAGCGGGAGGAGGCGGGAGGGGGTAGCGGAAGAGGCGGAAAGGCGGCTAAAACAGGGAAATCAGATGTCAAATCAAGGAAAACAGATGCAAAAACAAGCGAGAAAAGAGGTGGTGGTAAGGGGAAGGAGAGGCGATCAGAGACGGTGAACGCAGAACCCTCCGCGTCTCCAAGCGCAGCAGGGGGGGAAAAGCTGGATGGCGCAACGACGGCCACGGGGAAGGGTGGGAAGGCGGGGGGAAGCGGAAGTGCGGGGAAAGTCGAGGGGAAGACGGGGAGGGGTGGCGAAGAGGCGATGGAGGGGGTGGAGGTGGGAGATGAGCAGGGGGGGGATGAAGAGGCAGCTAAGGTGGATGCTGACGTGTCAGAGGAGGAGGCTGAGGGGGATGCTGACGTGTCAGAGGAGAAGGCTGGGGGGGATGCTGACGTGTCAGGAGAGGAAGCTGAGGTGGCTGCGGAGGACGATGACGTGTGCGAGGTGTGCGGGGGCGATGGAGAGTTGCTGATGTGTGACGCGTGCCCCGCTGTGTACCATCTGTACTGCCTGCACCCGCCTCTCTCCCACGTGCCTGAAGGCGCCTGGTTCTGCCCCAAATGCGTGAGTCACATGCCATGCCAAGCCATGCCATGCCATTCCATGCCATGCCATGCCATTCCATGCCATGCTGTGCCATGCTATGCCATGCCGTGCCATGCCGTGCCGTGCCGTGCCGTGTCATGCCGTGCCGTGCCATCCCATGCCATCCCATGCCATCCCATGCCATCCCATGCCATCCCATGCCGTGCCATGCGATGCTATGTCATGCATGTATTTGATATGAGTACATGAGACCCAAGCCACAATCTCGCTTTTTTTTGCGATTACTGTCCGCTCACCCCCCTCTCTCTCTCGCCCGTCTGGCTCTCCTCATGCAGGGCCATGACTGGTCAGCACTGGAGCGGTTTTTGGGCGTGAGAGAGGTGGAGCAGGGGGGCGAGGGGGGCGGAGAGGGTGGTGAGGGAAGAGAGGTGGCGGTGGATGGGGGGACCAGAGAGGGGGTTGGTGATGGCAAGAGGAGTGGCGATGGTGGTAGAGATGGCGATGACAGTGGAGGGCGGGGTGAGAGGAGGCGAGTGGAGGAGTATTTGATCAAGTGGAGGGACAAGTCGCACATTCATTGCACCTGGTATACTCCTGTTCCTCTTGTTGAACCTCCCTCCGACCCCGTTTCTCTCCCTCACACACGCTCCTTAACTCTCATTCGGACTACTCGGTCTTCTGACATATTCTCAGCGAGTCGACATATTCCGCGGGAAACGAGTCTTGTTTTGAGTCGACTCAGAACATCCCTCCCACTCCGTTTCTCTCCCTCACACGCACTCCTTAGTACTCATTCGGACCACTTGACGTGCTCGCTCTGTCTGACTGCTTGTAGGGGATCTACAATGACTAGCGTGCTTTCTCCTTTTCTCCCGTCAGCTCTCACACACTCTTTTTTTCCTCTCCCGTTTCACCACTTTCGTTGCCTGTTTGTAAATCGACAAAAATCCCCACCGCTTCACTGCTCCCCTGCTCCACTGCTCCACTGCTCCACCTTTAACCCTTCAACCCCCTTAAATATCTTCAGGGTGGCAGCTGCAAAGGTGGAGGCAGCAGCAAAGAGCTTCCAGGGCTTAAAGCTTGGTTGAGGAACTACCTGCGGCAGCGGGCAAAGGCGCCCAGACTCCAGAGCACCATGCTTTCTCAATCTCCTCGCCGTTCAGTATCCCTCACTCCCTCCTCTCCCTCCCCTCCTTCTTCCCCTTTGCGTCTCCCTTCCCCCAACCCCCCCCCCTTTTCAGGGTGGGAGCTACAGCATTGGAGGCAGCAGCAAAGAGCTTTCCGGGGCTTAAAGCCCGGATGAGGAACTACCTGCGGCAGAGGGCAGAGGCAGCAGCACAGAGCGCGCTGTACGGGGATGGGGAGGAGGACCCGGAGGAGAGTGGGGCGGTGCCAGTGCTGCGACCTGACTGGCTGGTTGTGGAGCGAATTGTCAACGCCAAGTGAGTGATGAGTGGTTCGCTTTGCTGCGCTGTTGAATTCGATTTTTCCGAATTCTAATTAAAATACCTGATTGGCTAGTTGTGGAGAGAATCGTGAATGAGTGATGAGTGGTTTGCGTTGCTGCGCTGTTGTCACCTTCTTTTTGTGCTCCCGTGTGCTGTTATTCACCAAGAATCACTTTTTGTGCTCCCGTGTGCTGTTATTCACCAAGAATCACTTTTTGTGCTCCTGTGTATAAGTCGACTAGAAAATGACATTTTCCACTCTTTCTGCCATGCCTTGTTGCAATTCAATCAGGAAAGTTTTCATTTGCCAGCCTCCTACTCTGCTCCTTCTCCCCGTGGCTGTTGTTTTCGCAGGAAGAACCGCAAGGGGCAGCAGGAGTACTTAGTTAAGTGGCGAGAGTTGGGGTACGACGAGGCTACCTGGGAGACAGAGGAGGATTTGCGGAGCAAAGGAAGAGAGCCGGCCAATGGCATGAAAGAAGAGCAAAAGGAGGGGTTGAAGGATGGGGCGAAGGATGGTGATCAAGGGAAGAAAGGGTCAGGAGGAGATGGAAAAGGGAAGAAGGGTGTGAGAAAGAAAGGAGAGGAGGAGAGTGGTGAGGCAGTTGTAGAAGGTTTCGAGGAGGCTCTTAAGGAGTATGAGGAGATGATGGCGAGAGGACCTAAAGCAGTGGCGTGGGGACTGGTGGGCGGGGGAGAGGGAGCGGGTAAGGAGGCAGAGAGGGGAGTGCAGAAGAGGAAGCGAATGGAGTTCAAGGAAACACCCGGCTTTCTGAAAGGTTGGTGCTTTTGCATGCCAGCCGAGGCGACGCATCTTAAAGTCTGGTAACTGTACTGTTAACTGCTATCCCCTCCTTGTTATATGACTGTTAACACAAGTGTTAAGCATGCAATGTAACACGACTGTTAGACACCACCATCGCCTGTCTGTCTTCCTAGTTGTCCTTCCCATCCCTGTTGTGTTGCTTGCTCTTGTCTGCTTGCTCAGCCGTGCTCCCCTGTCCTGCTCTCCTTCTCCTGCTTTAACCCCATGTTTCTTCCACTCACTTTGCCACCGTCCAGGTTCGCTGCACCTCTATGCAGCTAGCTGAATCACCTCCTGACCTTCCACGTCTTTCTCTCGCTTTTAAGTCGTCCTGGTTCGCTGCACCTACACGCATGCTCTTCCCATATCACCCCCTATGCCTTTCTCTCTCTTCAAACCTGTCCAGGTATGCTGCACCCGTACCAGCTGGAGGGGCTGAACTGGCTGCGATTCGCCTGGCAGCAGAAGCAGCACGTGATTCTGGCGGACGAGATGGGGCTGGGTGAGTGAGCCACATGGGGGGGGGTGGGGTGGGGGGGGAAGTTGGGGTGAGCCGCATGAGGGAGAAGGGGGGGTGGTTGTGTGTGTGAGGCACTTCAACACATACAGGAAGCAGAAGCAGCACGTGATTCTGGCGGACGAGATGGGGCTGGGTGAGTGAGCCACAGGGGAGGGGGGGGGGAAGAGGGGGTGCGGGCGGGGGTTGGGGTGAGCTGCATAAGGGGAGAAGGGGGGGGCTGGGCGAGTCGCAGGGAGGGGGGGTTGGGGGGGTTGGGATGAGCCGCAGGAGGGGACGTGGGTTGGGTGAGGTGCACAAGTGGGGCTGGGTTGCTGGGCGAGTCACGTTGGTGCGACACATAGGCTGGGTGGGTGGTGCGACCGTGCGACACATAGGCTGGGTGGATGGGTGGCATACGTGGGTTCCAAGATGGTCATCAGTGCCATGTTCCTCCTCGCATCGCTGCATGTGATGAGGCCGTCAACTTCACTCATCTCTTTTGAGAATTCTCATGTGATGAGGTCGTCAACGTCAACCTCACTCATCTCGCCACCAGCTGGTCGTGTTCTTGCATCCCTCGTCCCTCAAAAGCCGTCCATCTGTCTCTCGCCTTCCACCCTCCGCAGGCAACACGGTGCCTCACTGCACGAGGAGAGGCCACCCCACCACTCCCTAGTGCCTCTCTCATCTCAACACCTGCTGCTGCTGCCTTCCCACCGTCGTCCCTCATGCCCACCCATCCATCGCAGGCACGACGGTGCACCGTCTCGTGCAACGGTGCAGGCGATCTCCTTCCTCGCATCGCTACACAAGGAGAGGGCCACAGCGCTCATGCAACCCACCTCGTGCTGCCTTCCCCCTTTCCTCATCCTTTGTCTCTCACCCTGGTGCGTTCCTTATTTATTCCCACCCACCCACCGCAGGCAAGACAGTGCAGGCAATCTCCTTCCTCGCATCCCTGCACGAGGAGAGGGCCACAGCACTCCCTCACATGGTGGTCGTGCCGCTCTCAACTCTGCGCAACTGGCAGCGCGAATTTGAAACTTGGGCGCCCCACCTGCGCGTGGTGAGTGCACATGCTCTCGTAGCCCCTGCTGCGCTAGGCCCCTCAGTACCCCTCCCTCTGCACTCCCCCACATGGTGGTCGTGCCGCTCTCCACTTTCCGCAACTGGCAACGCGAGTTTGCAACATGGGCGCCCCATCTGCGAGTGGTGAGTGCCCTATCAACCGCTCTGTACCGCTCTGTACTCTTCTGCACTCCCTCACATGGTGGTCGCGCCGCTCTGGACTCTCCGCAACTGGCAGCGCGAATTCGCCACGTGGGCGGGCGCCGCACCTGTGCGTGGTGAGTGTCCAACCCGTCGACGTTTATGCTCCTTTCTGCTCTGTGCCGCGCAAGTAGCAGTGGAATTTTCCACATGGTCCGTCCATGTGCACGTGGCTCCTCCCTCCCTCCCTCCTTCCTTCCCTCCCTCCTTCCCTCCCTCCCTCCCTCCCTCCCTCCCTCCCTCCCTCCCTCCCTCCCTCCCTCCCTCCCTCCCTCCCTCCCTCCCTCCCTCCCTCCCTCCCTCCTCCCTCCCTCCCTCCCTCCCTCCCTCCCTCGCTCCTCCCCTTCCCACTCCCTTCTTCCCTGGCGTACCCCGAACCTGCTTCTGCTGTCTCATGTTTATGCTTGCTTGCTCACACACGCCTGGTGTGTCATGCGGTGTCTCACAACTCTATCTCCTCCTTCCCTTGCCCTTCTGCACTCTTGTGCTTACCACACACACATTTCGCATGCATGCATGGGGGTATGTGTGCATGTGTGCACGCATGCATGGGTGCATGCGTGTGTGCGTGCATGCTTGTGTGCTTGTGTGCGTGCGTGCGTGCCTGTGTGCATGTGTGCACGTATGCATGTCTGCGTGTGTGCATGTGTGCATGTGTGCATGTGTGCACGTGTGTATGTCTGCGTGTGTGCATGTGTGCATGTCTGCAAGTGTGCATGTGTGCATGTGTGCATGTGTACATTTGGGGGCATGTGGGCGTGTGGCCACGTGTCCATGTGTTCATGTGCACGTCGCATGTGTTCATGTGTGCATGCGTACATGCTCGTGTCCATGGGTGCATGGGTTCATGGGTGCATGGGTGCATGGGTGCATGGGTGCATGGGTGCATGGGTTCATGGGTGCATGGGTTCATGGGTGCATGGGTGCATGGGTGCATGGGTGTACGGGTGCATGGGGGCACTTATGTGCATCTATGCATGTGGGCATGTATACGTGTGCATGCGTGCAGATGATGTATGTGGGAACAGGGGCAGCAAGAGCATTGATTCGAGAACACGAGTTCTTCTTCCCCTCCTCCTACACGCCTCCCCCTCCTCCTTCAACCAAGGATACGCGCACGCAAGGGAAGCAGGTGAAGGGCGGGAAGAAGGGGAAAGGTGGCGAGAAAGGGAAGGGTGGAGAGAGCAAGAAGCGTGGACACAAAGGGAAAGGTGGGAAGGTCGGGAGGGAGGTATCACGACAGGTGCAGCGGCCCAAGAGGAAACGAAAGAGTGGGAGGATGGTGCTGTCTTCTGAGTCTGAGAAGTCTGAGGAGCCCTCTGGCGGGTCAGATGGGGATAGTGAGGATGAGGTGGAAGAGGTTGGAGTGCTGGAGGATATGGAGGGAGGAGGCGAGGAGGAAAGGGAGGAGGAGGAAGAGGAGGAGGAGGAAGAGGATGAGGAGGAAGCGGAAGAGGAGGAGGAAGAGCAGGCAGGGAAGAGTAGACGCAGGCAGATGGGGACGAGGGCTTCCCACAGTGTTACGAGAGAGCAAGATAGGGAGGCAAGGAGCAGGGGTGTGATGAGAAGCGATAGTACAGGGAGGGATGTTAGGGGTCGGGAGAAGGGCAGGCTAAGAGAAGTGAAGGGAACGAAGGATCGAGGGAAGAAGAGAGGAAGGGAGATGAAGCAACAGCAGCAACAGAAGGGGCGGAAGCGGCGGAGGGGAGAGTCAGCATCGTCATCAGATGAGTCTTCTGATGAGGATGATGAGGAGTATGTGGTGGTGGCAGAGGAGGGGAGTGGGGAGAAGGAGAGTGAGGAGGAGGCGAGTGAAGAGGAGGGTAGTGAGAATGAGGAGGAGGAAGAGGAAGAGGAGGAAGAAGAGGACGAGGAGGAAATGCCACTGAGCAAGCGGGCGAAGGTCAGGCGCAGTGGGAAAGGCACTCATCGTGGAAAGCGCGAGCCACGCAGCGCATCAGCAGGCAGAAGCAGGGGGGGCGGCAGCATCAAGGGGGGCAGCAAACGCATTCCCCCTGGTGGGCGCATGCAGCAGCAACAGCAACTGTCCCGGCAGGAGCGGGTGAGGTTTGACGTGCTTCTGACGTCATACGAGGTGGTGAACAGTGACTCGCAGCAGCTGAGGCAGGTGCGGTGGGGGTGCCTGGTGGTGGACGAAGGGCACCGCCTGAAGAACAAGGAGAGTAAGCTGTTTGGGACGCTGCAGAGCTATTCGTCCCTGCACCGCCTGCTGCTCACCGGCACTCCCCTGCAGGTGACTAGCGAGTTGTGCTGTGCCCATTTCTGTGTGTCCAGGTATGCTAACTGGGCTCTCCTCTGAGGTAACGTGTTCAGTGATAGCAGGTGAGGGCATGAGGGCATGGGGTTGAAGAGAGGGTGGGGTGGTGGGTAGCGTTGGTGCGGTGGGGGTGCGTGGTGGTGGACGAGGGGCACCGGCTGAAGAACAAGGAGAGCAAGCTGTTTGGGACGCTGCAGAGCTACTCCTCCCTGCACCCCCTGCTGCTCACCGGCACTCCCCTGCAGGTGACTAGCGAGTTGTGCCGTGCCCTACACTGTGTGTCCAGGTATGCTGGCTGGGCTCTCTTCTTGAGGTAACGTGTTCAGTGGTAGCAGCCTGCAGGTGAGGGCGTGGGGGTGGGGGTGAAGAGAGGGTGGTGTTGGTGCGGTGGGGGTGCGTGGTGGTGGATGAAGGGCACCGCCTGAAGAACAAGGAGTCAAAGCTGTCCGGCACGCCGCACAGCTACTCCTCCCTGCACCCCCTGCTGCTCACCGGCACTTTTCTGCAGGTAACGGGTTGTGCAATGAGTTTTGAGTCGACTCAAGTTTTGAGTCGAGTTTTGAGTCGACTCAAGTTTTGAGTCGAGTTTTGAGTCGACTCAAAACTCGACGCACTTTTCTGCAGGTAACGGGTTGTGCAATGCATTGCCCCCCTCACTGTCTCCCCGCTGCTGCGTCCAAGTTGTTCCCGCTGCTCTAAGTCCGTCCTCATCCTCTTCCTGCACCCTTCCCTTGCGCCCCCCTTTATCTTGCATCCACATGTCCCCCCATTTCCCCCTGGCAGAACAATCTGGACGAACTTTTCATCCTCATGCACTTCCTCGATGCCGATAAGGTGAGCGATGGAGTGGATGGGGATGAGGTGAGGTGAGGTGAGGTGAGGTGAGGTGAGGTGAGGTGAGGTGAGGTGAGGTGAGGTGAGGTGAGGTGAGGTGAGGAAAGTTGAGGGGAGGAGCGTGACCAACCTATCGCGAGGGAGAGAGCGAAGTGAGGCGAGAGGGTGAGCGTTAGCAATGCGATGGGAAGGCGACCATGTGGTTTCTGGATGCCACCAAAGTACAAACGAAGTACTCAATATGGGTGAGTGAGGTGAGGTGAAAGATTGAGTATGGCAAGCGGTTCCCCTGGCAACGGCAGCCGGTAAGGTTCCTCTGTAGCTATCTTGCATTCCCTTAGAGAAAAGCTGCACCATTCCCTTGCCCCCAACCCCACTCGAACTCTTTCCCTGCCTTGCCCCGTGTCTTTCTGTGTTATGTTCGTGTTGCCCCTTGCACCATAACCCCCTTGCCTTGTGTCCCTTCCCCGGTGTGCTCCCATGCTATGTTCCGGGTGCCCTTGCACCATAACACCCTGGCGGCAGTTTGCGAGTCTGGAGGGGTTTCAGGGCGAGTTCCAGCAGCTGGGGCAGGAGGAGCAGGTGGCCAAGCTGCATCACCTGCTGGCGCCACACCTGCTCAGGCGTAAGCATACCTGAATCAAAACCACTAGCTCCGATCCCCAGACCCTGAAGCTCTTGTTGCTTTTGTTATTCATACTCGGCATGGCAGCAGGTGGCCAAGCTGCACCACCTGCTAGCGCCACACCTGCTCAGGCGTAAGCATACCTGAATTGAAACCACAAACCTATGTGGAGAAAGACGCTGGGGCAGCCCTGCGTCCTGCGTCCGGACGCAGCGTCCGGACACAGCGTCCGGACGCAAAGACGCAGGACGCGCGTCCGGCCGCGGGACGCACCCTGGAAAATTTTTCGGGCAGACCGAGATTTTTTTTTTTTTTCGCGATCGCGAAATTGACATTCGCGATTTCGTCGCGAATGTCAATTTCGCCGAAATTCGACACCCCCCAAGCAAATTCGACCCCCAAAACCAGCCATCTAATTCACCCCTAACCCCCTCCCCTTTTTGCAAAATTGATTTGGAAATCCAACCCCTCTCCACCACTCCACAACTAGGAAACCCAACCTTTGTGGTCCACCACCCCCACAAAGCCCATTTAGTTCATGAAAACCCCCACAAAGCCCAACTTTTTTTTGGCTGCCCGGGGGGTTTTTTCTGGCTGCCCGGACCTGCGTCTTTTGCTGCGTCTCGGGGGCCCTAAACTAGCGTCCATCGTCTGGACGCATGCGTCCAGGACGCTGGACGCGTCTTTCTCCACATAGCCACAAACCCCAAACTCCAAGCCCAAGGCCCTGAACCCTAGTGGCTGAAGCTCTTGCTCCTCTCGTTGTTGATCCCGTTGCTCGCTCTACATGCATGGCACAGTAGCGAGTGGCCAAGCTGCATCACCTGCTCACACCTCACCACATGTAAACACATCTGAATCGATACCCCGACCTCTAAATTTAAAGACCCTGAATTTTTAAACTCTGAGCCTTATGCTTCAAACCTCTGGTCGTGAAGCTCTTGCTCATCAGACGAGGTTCCTTATATTGGACATTGTCCTTCCCCCCTCACTCTCTTCTCCCAGGGCTGAAGAAGGACGTGTTGAAGCAGATGCCGCCCAAGAAGGAGCAGAGCCATGAAAATGACACCCTCACCACCACCTTATATGTTGCTCTCCATTTCTCTTTCCCCGTCCACTCTCCACCCGGTATTCTCCCAGGGCTGAAGAAGGACGTGTTGAAGCAGATGCCGCCCAAGAAGGAGCAGATTCTGCGTGTGGACTTGGCGCCGCTGCAGCGCTCGCTGTACCGAGCTGTGCTCACCCGCAACTACCAGGCTCTCACCAAGGCGTCTGGGCAGCAGGTAGGTACATTGTGCACACGGAGTGCCGTACTTGCACCTGCTACTTACAAACACCACTGCACCGAACACGTAATACTGTGCTTGTCGTCTTTACTTGGGGATCGCTCGCTGCACCGTGCTGTGCTCACCTGCAACTACCAGGTTCTCACCAAGGCGTCGGGGCAGCAGGTACGTTTTACGCAGGGAACGCTGTACTTCTGCTCCTTACTTATAGCAGCACTGCACTGTGCTCACTCGCATCACAACTACCAGGTGCTTACCAAGGCGTCCGGGCAGCAGGTGCGTTCCATTCATGGAGCACGGCTGTGCTTATACGTGTGCTACCCTCAACTTTCTCCCCTTACTCAGCGTATACGGCTGTTACCACCCTTTACTTACCTTCATCTCCCCTCACGAGTCACAGGTATGCCTGACCAACACAATGATGCAGCTGAGGAAGGTGTGCTGCCACCCGTGCCTGGTGAAGGGCGCAAAGAGTGTCACCTGTTCCTGCTGTGCCCGGTACGGTACTCACCCGCCTGCTCCCCCTCCCACCCGCCTTCCCTTCATGTCCCCCCTTCAGGTATCGCTGACCAACACAATGATGCAGCTGAGGAAGGTGTGCTGCCACCCGTTCCTGGTGGAGGGCGTGGAGGGGGTGCTGTCTGCATCGCCTCTTCTCATCTCCCGTTGTTATTACCTTGCCTTCACCCCCCCCCCAGGTCTCCCTCACAAACACAATGATGCAGCTGAGGAAGGTGTGCTGCCACCCGTTCCTGGTGGAGGGCGTGGAGGAGCAGCACGGAGGCGGAGATACCCCAGCAGAAGCCAGCCGGTTAGTGACGGTGGGGTGGGGGGGGGGAAATGGCCGCACAGAGAGACCACAGCTAAGGAAGATGTGCTGGCACCCGTTCCATGGAAGGGGCACGAGGAAGAAGTGGGAAAGGAGGGTTTTCACTCACCCTCTCCTGCTGGCACACTCTCACTCCATGTACTTGTCTTCTTTCCCCGGCATATGGTAGCAGCATCCTACTGGATGTCGGTGCGACTTTTGAGGTTTCTCAAAAGTCGCACCAATATGGCAGTAGTATCCAACTAAACGTCCCAATTGGAGCGAATTCTGGAGCGCCACACACACGGTAGCAATGCCCGTCACCTCTATTCCCTCCCTTCCCCTGTCCCCTGTCCTCACCTTCTGTGTACGTCCCTTCCCTCCCAGGCGCATGGTGGTGGCATCAGACAAGCTGGCTCTGCTGGAGCGAATGCTGGAGCAGCTCAAGGCCGGGGCACCTTGTGCTGGTGCACTCACCTTGCCCCTGTTCCCTCCCTGTCCCTTGTTCCTCTCCATGCACTTCCCTCCCAGGCGCATGGTGGTGGCATCAGACAAGCTGGCTCTGCTGGAGCGAATGCTGGAGCGGCTGAAAGCGGGGGGGCATCGCGTGCTGGTGTACTCGCAGTTCAAACGCATGCTGGACCTGCTGCAGGAGTGGCTCATGGGCAAGGTGGGTGGCTCATGGGCAAGGTGGGTGAGTGGCTTGGCTAGAGTTGAGTGGGATTGGAATAGCGGATCTCATGTGAATCTGCAGGTGTCTGTGAGCTGACTCAGCTGTGCTGGTGTCTGTGAGCTGACTCAGCTGTGCTGGTGTCTGTGAGCTGACTCAGCTGTGCTGGTGTCTGTGAGCTGACTCAGCTGTGCTGGTGTCTGTGAGCTGACTCAGCTGTGCTGGTGTCTGTGAGCTGACTCAGCTGTGCTGGTGTCTGTGAGCTGACTCAGCTGTGCTGGTGTACTCGCAGTTCAAGCGCATGCTGGACCTGCTGCAGGAGTGGCTCCTGGGCAAGGTGGGTAGCTGGGTGGTGGGGAGGGGAAGGTGAATCACTATCATTAGAGTAGAGTGGGACTGGAAAGTAAGGAATCTCAGAACTGAGTTGGTCGTGCTGGTGTACTCACAGTTCAAGCGCATGCTGGACCGACCTGCTGCAGGAGTGGCTCATGGGCAAGGTGGGTGGCTCATGGGCAAGGTGGGTGGCTCATGGGCAAGGTGGGTGGCTCATGGGCAAGGTGGGTGGCTCATGGGCAAGGTGAGTGATTCTTAGGTACTGATTTGATGAAGCAAGGCGGGGATGGTGAGGCGAGCTGGGTTGGATGGATGGATGGATGAGTCACGTGACTCAATTAATGACCTGGCCGATTTCTCCGTGCAGTTCAAGCGCGTGCTCGATCTGCTGCTGAGCAGCGGCTGGCTGGCTGGCAACGTTAGCCGCTTTTTTCGTCCAGCCAGGTGGAGTGGAGATGTAAAAGCAAGTTGACAGACAATCGGAGCTTATAAGCTCACTCGGACCTCCAGCAGCGCTCTGATGGGAGCCTGATTCTGTTACCCTCCCACCACTGTGGGAGCCTGACGATCCAACTCACTGCACCCACTGTGTGCATCCAGCGGGTTGGGGTGAACCCTTCCTCCACTCCCACAGCCACTGTGTGCTCCATTCCTTCCGCCCCTACCCAAACACCCCATCCGTCAGGGGTGTCTGGGGTTGTGAGCACATTGGCAGCAGCACCAGTGGCGGCTCGGACCGCCAGCAGCGCATCGATTGGTTCAACGCACTGTGGCCCAGTCTTCTTCTTATTACTCCTACTAACCACTCCCTCCATCCCCTTAACCGAATTTCCTGTCCCACAGGGCTGGGGGTGTGAGCGCATAGACGGCAGCGTGAGCGGCACGGACCGGCAGCAGCGAATCGACCGGTTCAATGCTCCCGGGTCTAGCCGCTTTGTGTTCCTGCTCTCCACGCGCGCTGGTGGGCTGGGGATCAACCTCGCCACTGCTGACACTGTGATTATATACGACAGGTGCGAAACAGAAGATGTGACCATATAGGACAGGTATTTTCGAAGTGTAGTTTGTGGTTTTGCTGAGGTCGACTCATTTTGTGTTCATCCTCTCCACTTGTGCTGGGGGACTCGGGATTAACCTGGCCACTGCTGTTACAGATATACAACGGCTGCGGAAAGAATGAGATTGTATGGGACAGGACAGGTAGGTAATCTGAGAGTTTAGACTCTGGCTGTAGCTTCACTTTATCAGGGTCCGGCTGCTCTGTATTGCTCCCTTTCAACTCGGCAATGGGGCCCAGCCCGGCCCGGCCCGGCCCGGCCCGGCACTGTGAGTAGTCTCTTCGTAAGGTACCTCATTCTGAGTCGACTAAAAAATAGACTCATCACACTTTTGAGGCGCCTCAAGAATAGACTCCTTTCAACTCGCAATGGGGCCTGGCCCGGCACTATGAGTATATTTACCCCATATGGTGGGGTGGCAGTAGTGGTGGGGTGGCAGTAGTGGTGGGGTGGCAGTAGTGGTGGGGTGGCAGTAGTGGTGGGGTGGCAGTAGTGGTGCGGTGGCAGTAGTGGTGGGGTGGCAGTATTGCTCTGTCACCTCACCCCCCTGGCAGTGACTGGAACCCGCACGCCAACCTGCAGGCCATGGCTCGCCATATGCTCTCAATAGCCTCTAGCACCACTCTCCCCTCCCTCTTTTCCCCCCACCCGCTTACTCCCATCTACCCCCTTTCCCCACTTTTCACCCATTCTCCCTGCCCCATGGCAGTGACTGGAATCCGCATGCAGATCTGCAGGCCATGGCTCGCGCGCACAGGCTGGGGCAGACCCAAACGGTAAGGGGGGTGTGTGCGTGCATGCGGGTGGGCGGGCGGGCGTAGGGGCGTGCGTGTGTGTGTGTGGGGGGGTTGGTGGAGGAGGGGGGAGAGTGGGGCAGAGTGGGTGGGTGCATGGGTGTGAGTGAGTGAGGGACTGACCATGCACACTCATATGTGCGTTCCGTGTGCAGTGCGTGCGTATGCAAGTTTTTGCCACTCCGTACGAGGCATTCCCCTGTGTATTTGATGAGACGCAAATGCTTTCTCATCCCTGCTTGCCAGGGCCAAGCACACTCGGCACTCTCAAGTTCGTGCCTCTCTGTGTGTATTTGTGCCGCGTGTGTATGCGGTGCTCCATCTGCCACTCCATCACAGGTGATGATATACCGGCTGGTGACGCGGGCAACAGTGGAGGAGCGAATGGTGCAGATGAGCAAGAAGAAGATGGTGCTGGAGCATGTGGTGGTGGGGAAGCTCAAACAATCCAACCTCAACCAGGTGGGTGTGGTGCCTCATCCTAACCAACAAGGTTAATGCGACACGACACCTCAACCGGTTGAGTATTTTATTATGTCACATCGCATCTGACAAATGGGCTTCTTCTTGTTTCAAACTGTGTGCACCTGTTGCTATGCGTGCACCTGTTGCTGGTGTGCGTGGCTGTTGCTGTGTGCACCTTTGCTCCTGTACAGGAGGAGTTGGATGACATTTTGCGATTCGGAGCAAAGGAGTTGTTTGAAGAGGATGATGAGGAGGAGGACGAGGGGAAAGGAGGGGAGGAAGGGGAAGAAGGGAAAGAGGCAAAGGAGGGAGAGGGGAAGAAAGAGGAGGAAGGTGGTGGGGAGGTGGCAGGAGACAAGGCTGGAGAAGGCAGTAAGGATGCTGACAAGGACGCTGACAAGGATGCTGACACGGATGCTGACAAGGATGCTGACAAGGATGCTGAGAAAGGAGCAGCCGGGGACGAGAAACTGAAGGAGAAGAAAAAGCAGAAGGAGAGCCGGCGGATCTACTACGATGATGCTGCTATTGAGAGGTGCGTTTGTTGCGCCATGTGCATTTTATAGGGCATGGGGCATGTCAGAGTTGAATGAGCAACAACCTCAGAGGGCATGGGACGTGTGCTTCAACAGTTATCCCCACCCCACGTCTTCCCCTAAAGGCATTCATCCCCTCAACCTACCCTCCCTCTCCATCTCTTCCACCCCCTTTTCCAGCCCACTTCCTTTAGCTTTTCATTGTTTGTACCCTTGCTCAACCCCTCCTCTCTCCTCTGCTCTGCTGCTCTCCCTTCTCCCCAATCCCGTTCGCTTTTCTCTCCTCCTCCCTCTCACTTCCTCCCTTTTTTCTCTTTCCAGTCTCTGGCTGTTGGATCGCTGCACAGTGGGCGAGGAGCAGGCGGCTTCTAAGGCGCCTCTACTCTATTCCTTCTCCCTCTCTCACCTGTTCTCCCCCTCCCCCCCTCTGGCCTGCTCCCAGGCTGTTGGATCGCAGCACAGTGGGCGAGGAGCAGGCGCAGGATGAGCCGGACAATGACTCAACTACCTTAAGGCATTCAAGGTGTAGTGCCCCGTGCACCTCCCTCTCTCACCTCCTGTCCTCCCCCCCTTCCCCACTGGCCTCCCTCTAGGCTGTTGGATCGCAGCACAGTGGGCGAGGAGCGGGCGGAGGATGAGCCGGACAACGACTACCTCAAGGCATTCAAGGTAATTCTAAGAAGATCGCCAAATGTTGGGATCTCAAAGGACTTAAGGCACCTGAAAAGAGGGATGAGCCTGACAAGGACAGAACTACCTCAAAGCCTTCAACGTAATCGCAGGAGGTCTGAGATGTTACTTCAACTGAACGCCTTATTTGTTGATATCTCGAGCACTTCTAACTTAGTGCTCGAAAAAAAGGGATGAGCCTGTCAACGATTTTCTCAAGGCCTTCAATGTAACCGCAACAAGTCCACTAACTTCAACTAAACGCCTCAAGTGTCAATATCCCACCCAAGGGCTTCAAGGCAGTTGAAAAACATCGATGCCGTTTCTGCTATGTCATACCCTATCGGTTCTGAAAGTGATTTCAAGGTTTCAGTTAAAATCGAGTAATCTCGTGGTGAAACGATCTTGCCCTCTCTCTATTGCCAAACGTTCCCTGCCACTGCAGGTTGCCAATTTCAGCTTTGTATCCGAAGCAGATCAAGCTGAGGCGGACGCAGAGAAGGAGAGAGAGCTGGAGCGGGAAAGGCAAAGAGAACAGGAGTTGGCAGGGGAGGGGGAGAGAGACGGCAAACGCTTAGACGCTGCAGGAAGAGCCGCGTACTGGGAGTCACTGCTGAAAGACAAATACGAGGCGGAACAAATAGAGGCGTTTTTGGAGCTGGGGAAGGGAAGGCGGGCGAGACGACATGTGGATTACACGGTTGATGGGGAGGAGGAGGGGGAGCAGGCGGGGGGTAAGAAGGGGGAGAGAGGGGGGAAGGGGGAGAAAGGGGGGGAAGGGGAGGGGGATGAGGCATATGATGAGGATGGGGAGGAGGACGACGGGGAGGATGGGGAGAGTGATGTGGAGCTTGAGGAGGAGAGTATGGGGAGGGGTAGGAAGAGGAAGGTTAGGTACGGGAAGCCGGTTCCCGCTACCTCTCCTGGTGTTGCTGTGGGAGGGGCGGGAGGAGGGGGGAGTGCAGGGGAAGTGAGGAGGAAAGTGTGGCCGTTGATGGAGGGGGCATGGCCGTACACCAAGGTGCTGGGATTCACATCCAAGCAGCGCATGACCTTCCAACAGCTCATCATGCGGTGAGTGTGGGGAAGGGCGCTTGGGGTCACATGCATGGGTTTCACCTGTCTGTCAGTCACCAGCATGTAATGTGATGGAGGGGGCATGGCCGTACACCAAGGTGCTGAGATTCACATCCAAGCAGCGCATGACTTTCCAGCAGCTCATCATGCGGTGAGTGTGGGGGAATCTGTGCTTGCTTGGGGGGATGGCGCTTGGGGTTCTCATGCATGCCTGCCAGCATCTTGCTTCCCCTCTCCTTGCTACAACCTCTTGTTGCCCTCCACTCCCTGTAATTGTTGCTGCAGGTTCGGGATCGGTGATTTCAGCTGGAAGGAGTTCGTGCCTCGACTCAAGCCGCGCACCCTGCAGGAGATAAAAGAGTGAGTTCGAGTCTCACATTAGAGTTCTGAGTTTCACAGGTGCGCTTTTGTGTCTACTAAGAAGACACCTTGTTTCGCTCCAACTGGAAAGGAGTTCCTGTCAGGCACCAAGCAGACTATGAAGGCCTTAGTTACTTCTGAGCCGACTTTATTAATCTCTCAATTGCAGGAAATCACAACATTGAGCCGATCTGCATGTGCGTCTACTATTCTCTGCTGTTTATTCTCTGTTGTTTTCATCTTCCAATGATGAATTTCTATGCTCTTGAATGGTTGTGTGTTGTTTTGTTGTTGTTTTGTTCTATGCTCTCTCATCCTGCCATTATTCTGAATCATGCTTCTTCCGATCATCCGTCTCCCCGTCCATCAGCTACGGTGCCCTTTATCTGAAGCACATCCAAGAAGATCCAACCAGCAAAGACACATTCTCAGGTGCCCTGCCTTTGCCTCGTCCTCCCCCTACCCCTTCAACTGCTGCCAATGGCTTCACCATGCGAGCGCGCGCAATTGCGTTCCGTTCTGTTGGATGGTACTCTATTCCAGTTACTCAGTGATCACCAGGCTCGCTCACGTCACAGAGGTGAAGCCTTTCTTGAGGCGCCTCAAAAATCGTTTCTTGACGTGCCTAAAAAATCGTTGAATGGTACTCCATTTCAGTTGCTCAGTGATCACCAGGCTCACAGAGGTGAAGCCTTTCGACTTTAATGGGTCAGGCTGCACACACACCATGCAGGCATGAAGAAAGCGGTACGTGTGACATGACAACTCATGCTGCTGTTTCATCATGAATCAGCTGGCTGCGTGTTAGAGCTTCCTCTCGATATTGCACACGACATGATGACCTGGTTGATTATGCCAGTCATCCTATCTCATCCTCCCAGAGTCATCAGCCAAGTCATCACGTCCAGTGAAATAGCGACCAGAAGCTCCTAAACGCTGCTAGCTGATTCAGGATGCAACAGTAAGAGTTGCTCACGTTCTGCTTCCGTCACGCTTGCATGGCGTGCAGCCTGGAGGTCCACATTGAAGTCAAAAGGCTTCACCTTTCTGCATGCGCGATTGCAGTCCATCATGTTGCACTGTGCATGCAACGCCCTGCATGGCGTGCAGCCTGGAGGTCCACACTGAAGTCAAAAGGCTTCACCTCTGTGTCTATACGAGCACGCGCGATTGCAGCCCATTCTGGCGTCAGCACTGTGCATGTAGCACCGTGCATGTAGCACCGTGCATGTAGCACTGTGCATGTAGCACCGTGCATGTCGCACCGTGCATGTCGCACCGTGCATGTAGCACCGTGCATGTAGCACCGTGCATGTAGCACCGTGCATGTAGCACCGTGCATGTAGCACCGTGCATGTAGCACCGTGCATGTAGCACCGTGCATGTAGCACCGTGCATGTAGCACCGTGCATGTAGCACCGTGCATGTAGCACCGTGCATGTAGCACCGTGCATGTAGCACCGTGCATGTAGCACCGTGCATGTCGCACCGTGCATGTAGCACCGTGCATGTAGCACCGTGCATGTAGCACCGTGCATGTAGCACCGTGCATGTAGCACCGTGCATGTAGCACCGTGCATGTAGCACCGTGCATGTAGCACCGTGCATGTAGCACCGTGCATGTAGCACCGTGCATGTAGCACCGTGCATGTAGCACCGTGCATGTAGCACCGTGCATGTTGCACCGCTGCATGTAGCACTGTGCATGTAGCACTGTGCATGTAGCACTGCTGCACTGTGCACCCAGTACGATCATCGCTCTTCTATCCTACGTGACCCACCTTTCATTCATTCTTGTAACCTCATTCATGCTTCCTGTGTCCCCTACTCTCGCTCCTCCTCCTTGTCATGACCCGTCCCTTGGTTGCGGCACCCTGGTATTGATCTCCTCAGATGCTTGAACCACCAACGGACCTGCAAATATATCTTCAACATACCTGTACTTGAATATTGCGGTGTCTGAGTCAACTAGGAGTGTTCCTCTTGTTTCTCCTCTTCCCTAACCTACCCCTCTCTCCCCTTCCCCCTTCCCATTCCACCAGACGGAGTTCCCAAGGAGGGCGTGAGTCCCAAGGAGGTGCTCATCCGCCTGGCCCTTCTGCATCTCATTCCCCTCTCCTTCCCCTCTCACTTCCCCCATCCCCATCCCCATCTCCTCTTCTCCTCCCTCCCCACCTCCTTCGTCCTCCCCCCGCCACCAGACGGAGTGCCCAAGGAGGGCGTGAATCCGCAGGAGGTGCTCATCCGCCTGGCCCTGCTGCACCTCATTCGCACCAAGGTGGCCGCGGCTGAGAGCACCCGGGAGAGGCTGCGGGAGAGGGTCAGGGCGAGGAGGCTGGCCAAGGGTGGGAGTGCAGAGGGAAGGGGTGTGGAAGAGAGGGATGCAGACGCGAGTGGTGTGGAGTGTAGGGTCGCAGAGGCAGCAGCGGGAGGCGCAGCAACAAAAGAGGCAGCAGCAGCAGCAGCAGCACCTTTTGGGAACGAAGAGGCTGTTAGGAAGGCGGGTGAGGAAGTGTGCGGAGGCACGGTGGGCGAAGGAAAAGGGGATGTGCCTTCAGAAATGGAGGGCGTGACTTTGGGTGGTGGGGAAGGGGATGAGAAGGGAGAGGGGGGGCGTGGAGGGGTGGCGGGGGAAGGGAAGGGGGATGGGCGTTCAGAGATGGAGGGCGTGGAGGGAAATGCGAAGGGGGCTGAGAAGCGGGAAGAGGGAAACGTTGATCTGGGTATGAAGGGAGAAGGAGGTAAGGGAGAGGGAGGGAAGGGAGAGGAAGGGAAGGGAGAGGGGGGGAAGGGAGAGGAAGGGAAGGGAGAGGGAGGGAAGGGAGAGGAAGTGAGGGGAGAGGGAGAGGGCGACAAGGGAGGGAGGAGAGAGGGCGAGGTGGAGGGTGGTAAGGATGAGGGTGAAAAGAAGGAGGGAAGAAAGAAGGAGGGTGAGCAGGAGGACGGGTTGGAAAAAGAAGCAGAAGCGGTGGAGCTGGGTTGGGAGGAGTTGCTGCCGGGGCTACCAGAGCACCTGAAGAGTCACAGCCAGTTGGCGCCGCTGTTCCGCACGCGGCACTGGCGGGCCGAGCACGACCTGCAGCTGCTGAAAGGCATCACCAAGTGAGTGGCCCTTGTGCATGCATTTCACTTTCACATATCCTCAGCATGACCTGCAGCCTCTCAAGGAAATTACCAAGTGTGCTTTGGGAGGTGTAGTGACGCACCCATGTGGTTCTCGTCCTGCCTTGCTTGCGCCTGCCTGCCATCACTCCGTCTCAACCCTCCCCCAAAACCCTGCCTGCCTTTTCGAATTCCACGCAGGCACGGCTACGAGTGGTGGAGTGGCGTGGCATTATCAATGACCGCTCTTAGCCATGCCACTTGCCGCCGGTGTGAAGTGACCACTTGCCAGGCACACCCGTGCTTTCCATTCTTCCTTCTGCCTGACATCACTCTCCCTTCTCCCCCCCAATCTATGACCGCCTCTCCACCTCACCTTCGCCCCATCCCTCCTGCGCAGGCACGGCTACGGGCGGTGGAGTGACATCATCAACGACGATAAATTGGGCCTCGCTGACGTGGCACGCGCTGAGCTGTCGCTGCCGCCCGCCCCGCCCCGCAACATGATTGGCCTTTCCCTTGAGGACATCCCGGCGAATCCACCTACCCCAGTTGCCACCTCGGCTGCCCAGCCCACCAATCCTGGTGATGCACCTACCAGACCTAGTGCGGTGACCACCAATCCTGTTGCTTCGACCACCGGTCCTGCTGATGCACCCACCAAACCTGATGCTGTGACAACCAACCCTGGGGGAGTGGTTGGTGGTGGGGAGGTTGCAATGGGTGACGTGGCAGGTTCTAGGGCGGAGGGGAGAGCAGAGGGGAAGGCGGCAACAGTGCAAGAGGGTGCTGAGGGGGATCGCATGATTGCGGGTTTGAAAGCTAAAACAAGTGCTGCTGCTGGTGCCAGTGGTGCTGATGGTGGTGCTAGTGGTGTCGATGATGCTGATAAGCGCGTGACGATGGAGGAAGGAACAGAGGGAGTGAAGGAGGAATTGAAGGAAGAAGTGAAGGAAGAAACGAAGGAGGGAGCAAGTGAGAAGGAAACGAAAGAAAGAGAGGAAATGAAGGAGGAAGCAAAGGATGAAACGAAGGAGGAAACAAAGGCGGAAGTGAAGGGAGAAGTGAAGGGGGAAGCAATGGAGGGAGGGAAGGAGGAAACGAAGGAGGAAGCAGCGGACAGGGGAGCAGCGAAAGCAGAACCAGAGAGGGTGCCAGGAGCAGCGTCAGCAGCACCATCAGCATCAGCAGCGGCACCAACAGCAGCACCATCAGTGCCAACAGCAGCACAATCTGCACCACCAGCACCAACAGCAACAGCAACAGCACCACCAGCACCAACAGCAGCACCAGCAGCACAACAACTACCAGCAGCAGCAACAGGCGGAGGCATACCAGCAGGCAAGCGGTTACGGCCGTGGACACGGGAGGAGCACCTGGCATGGAACGCGGCGCAGAAGCGCGTGGTGGAGTTCTGCAAGCGGCGTGTGGAGCTGCTGTGCCGCGCTCTCAACCTCGAATACCACCACAAGACCACTGCTGCTGCTACCACTGCAGCTGCCGCCGCTGCAACTGCTGCCACCACTGCCACCACCACCACCTCCCGCGCTGCTGCCAGTGCTGCTGCAAGTCGTGTACCTGGTGGTGTGGCTGCTACTGCAGCGAAGGCGCCATCTTCATCGCACATGGCACATGGAGCTCAAACAGCGCGTGTGTCGCATGGAGCACACATGGCACAAGCAGCGCATGTGTCACATGCACCACATGCAGCACACGCAAGTGTGCAGTTGAATCAGGAGAGACAAGTGCCACGGGCAGCAGTACAGGCGACTCAACCACGGCACACAGCACAGGCCCCAGGGCATGGGAGCAGCAGGGCCAGCAATCCGACCCTGCAGCAGCAGGTGCAGCAAGAGAGAGAGGATGTGCCAGAAAGACTGACTCGTCAGCAGCAGATAGAGCAGCTGTACCAGAAGTTGTTTCAAGACCCTGTTCAGCCTCAAGCGCAGGGACAGTTGCAGCAGCAGCAACTGCTGCAGCAGCAGGAGGAGCAGCGGCGGCAGCAGCAGCAGCAACAGCGGCTGCAGCAAATGCAGTTGCAGCAGCAGCTGCGGCAGCAGGAGCGATTGCAACGGCTGGAGCAGCAGCAGCAGCTAGAGCAGCAGTTGCGTGCTTTGTATCAGCAGCAGTTGCAGCAGGTGCAGCCGCAGCAGCAGCAGCAATCGCAGCAGCAACAGTTAGAGCAACAGCTACGTGCCTTGTACCAGCTGCAACAGCAGCAGCAGGAGCAGCATTTGCGGCAGCTGCGGCAACAACAGCAAGAGCAGCAGCAACAGCAACAGCTGGAGCAACAGTTACGAGCCTTGTACCAACAGCAGCAGCAGCAGGAGCAGCAGAAGCAGCAGTTGCTGCAACAACAGCGGTTGCAGCAGCAGCTAGAGCAACAGTTACGTGCATCCAACCAGCAACAGCAGCAGCAGCAGCATCTCTCAGGTCTCACTAGCCGCTCTGAACAAAAACACAATGCCTCTTCCTCTCTCTCCTCCTCCCTGCCTGCCTCATCTCCCGCCCTCGCCTCTTCCCTGCCTGCCTCGTTCGCCTGCCTGCGTGAGTCTGCAAGGCTGTCCCAGCTGAACCGCACTACAGCAGCAGATGCAGGTAGCACTGGGGCAGGTGTGACTGCAGATACCATTCAGACTGCAATTGACGTGGTGGTAACTGAACTAAAGAGCCGCCAGCAGCAGCAGCAGCAGCAGCAGGTGGGGGTGGGGATGCGGCAGCAGCTGCAGCAGCAGCGGCTGCGGCAGAAGGAGCAGCAGGATATTGTGATGCAGTTGCAGCAGGGGCTGCAGACTCAACAACAACAAACTCAGGCTCAATCACACCAGCTACCGCAGCAAAACGAGCAGCAGAAACAACAGCAGCAGCAGCAGCGGCAGCAGCAGCAGCAGAAAAAAGAGCAGCAGGATCCCAAGGGCAGTGTGCCATGGACAGAGCCATATGTAATCGGCACTCCAGCCACGCATGCTGCTGCTGCTCCAGCGGCTACCACAGCTGCTGCCCTTGCCAGTCGCCTGCAAGCTACCTCCTCCGTCAAGGCCCCTCAGAACCAGTCCGAAGCTGGATTAGCAGCAGCTCAGAACCGCTCTGAATCTACTTCCCAGGAGCCGCAAGAGGAGGCGGAGTGTGACCCGTATGTAGCGCTCATCCGCCGGCTCAACGCAGAAGCTGAGGCAGCTGCAGGGGAGAATGCATCCTCTGATTCCAATGCCGAAGCGGAGGCAGCTGTAGCAGAGGGGGATAATCCACCTTCCGATTCCAAGGTCGAGGCTGTAGCGGTGGGAGCGGCTTGGGACAATGCATGTGCTGATCCTGGGGAGGAGGTTGTAGCAGCCAGGGAGAGTGTGAGTGGCCCTGCGAATATTGCCGATGAGGCTGTATCGACGAAAGGAAGAGAGGTTGCATCTGCCACGCGCTCACGTGACCCGGCTGTAGCAGCAGCAGGGAGTGAGACAGCGGAGGTGAGTGGCGCTACGGCTGATGCTTCTGCTAAGCTCAAAACAATACCTTCTGGAGCAGCAGAGCGTGAGAGGTCAGGCGCATCTGGTGCAGCAGGGCCGTCTGGTGCAGCAGGGCCATCTGGTGCAGCAGGGCCGTCTGGTGCAGCAGGGCCGTCTGGTGCAGCATGGGCGTCTGGTGCAGCAATAGATTGTAGTGAAGAACCCAAGGCTGTTGCTAGCACTGCCGCTCCTGCTGCTCCTGCTGGTTCTGCCACTCCTCCTGCTCCTCCTGCAGGGTCTCTTTCTGCTGACGGTGGTTCTGTGAAGCAAATCACGCAGGGCCACAAGGAGCCAACCACGCAGGGTCAATCAGGCGGTGGTGTGGATGGCGGAGGCAGCGCTGTGGGGAAGGATCACGGGGATGGTGTCAAACAAGCACGGGGACCCCGAGAGAAAGAATCACCTCAAGAGGTGCAACAGACGAGGATCCGAACCGTAAAGGGGCGAGGAGAGGGGGTTGAAGCAGAGCAACTGAAGGGAACAACGGAGTCCAGAGGAGGGGGGAAGACAAAGCAGAGGCAGGAGAGTGAGGAGCCCCCAGAAGGAGGTGATGAGATGGTGGTGGAAGTGTCACCAGAAAGAGAGCACTCTGTTGTTCAAGTTCCTGTAGCACCCCCGAAAAAGTCTCTCGCATTGACCCAAGAGTTGGCTCGAGTGCCAGCAGAGAGAGGGGAGCCGGTTGTCAAAGAGCCTGTTGCGCCTCCAGAAAAGGCAATGGGATCTGGCCAGGAGGCCGCTGGAGTGCCAGCAGAGAATGACAACACGGTTGCGGAGGTGGTCCCTGCACTACCAACAAAGCCAGCTTTGGAAAAATCAGCCTCGGCGAAATCACCTCCGGCAAAACCAGCTTCGGCGAAATCACCTCCCGCAAGAACACGTTTACCAAAATTACCTCCCACTGAAGCACGTTTGACGAGATCCTCTTTGAAGAGATCCCCTCCTGTGCAGCCGTTGCAGTCACCTGAGATACCGCCTGCAGTGCCTTCAGTGGCAGAGCAGGGCAGTGCGGGTGTGCAAGCGACTGGCGCCCCTCTCATCCACGCTGGGGGGAAGCACGCGGCAGGCAGCAAAGCAAGTGGTGCTTCAGGGCCTGATGAAAATCACGCTGTTGTGGAACAGGGTGGTGGGAAGAAGAGTGTGGATGGGAAGCGGGCTACAGAGGAGAATGGTGAGCAGAGCTGCTCCGGTGAGAAGCACTCGGGTGGTGCAGGCAAAGAGGAGGCTCATGTGGAGAGCCCACTTGATGGAAGGTCCCAAAAGCAGGAGGAGCAGCAGCAGCAGCCGTTGGGGCAGCAGCAGCAGCAGCAGCAGCAGCAGCAGCAGCAGCAGCAGCTGGTGTTACAAGGGGAAGGTGTGCCGGATGTGAAACAAGAGCAGCAACAGATGAGTGGAGCTGAGCCGGCAGTGGTGGCTGTAGATGATGATGAGGAAATAATTGACTTGTGTGATGATGATGACGAGTGATCAAGCTGATGTACAATATTTGATTAGCTATAGAACTACTGGAATTAACATACTGTATACTCCCGGACAAAACACCCCCCCATAATTGTACACCCCCGGGTAGCTTGTGCGGGGTGGGTGTTATGATAGACCTCGTTTCTACTATACCCCCCTTTTTGGCTGATTTTCTATAACACCCCCCTTTTCTTACGGATTCATTATTATAGTCGTTAACGAGTAGCGGAAGAATATCGTGTGAATTTCTCCCTCGATGAAATTTCGCGGTACATTCAAAGGCAATCTGCCGAGATTTGCCCCCTCCCACTACCGTCATCGCCCGGATATAAGACATGTATGTCTTATCTCATGCATTAAAAAAATCAGTCTTATAAATGGACAAAAATCCGTTTAGAAGATACTTCCTCGTTATACATTTGCCATTTGCCCCTACACACAAATAGGTGTCTTATAATGAGGCTACCCCGTTTATAAGAGACACCCGTATAATAGACAACCCCTGTCTACTATTCAACACTGTCTTATATCCGGGTGATGACAGTATTTCTCTGTCGCCACGTGCAGGTGAATCTTCCGTTGCAAGTGACAAGAGAGGTGCCACATGCCATTTTCGTGGGGGCGATGAAGTTCGAGGCCGAAACTCACATTCGCGCCTCAGGCAGTGATGCTAAAACGACCAGCAAAACACCCACATTGACTAATTAAAAAAACACTAACACTAAAATATGCCATATGTAAAGACCCGGGTATTATGTATTTTTTTCCTATGAGGAGACCCCCCCCATTTTTTCCCTGAATTTTTAGCTATACCCTAGGGTGTTATGTCCGGGAGAATACGGTAATGCAAAGCATATCTTCAATTGTCTTTCTCCTCAACATGAAATCTCAGCTCTGCCTTCTAGACCAGAGGAAGTCATACAGGTGCATACAAAGGCACAACATATAAGCAAGTACAGGAACATGTGCAGCAGCAACTACATAAACATGGGCAACATGTCTCAGCAGCATGTTTGCTTTACAGATTCAAACCTCTTGTGGTTCCAAGCAAGCCACTCAGTGATGTCCACTAACTCACTTAAGCCCTATTTGAAGCACTTTACTAGTATCCGAGCTACTGGGCTTTACATACCCATCACGATCCAGCAACTGCTTGCACCGCTTAACACCCAGATACAGCAGCATCTTCAACTCAGCCATGTCACACGGCAGCGCCGTGAGCCGCCAACACCCATCCAAGACTAGCCGCCTTAGGCTGCCCAGCCGCACAAAGTGGGGAGGAAGCGAGTCGATGCGGGCGGAGGAAAGATCGAGCTCAGTCAGGCATGAGAGGTGGGTGAGAGAAGCAGGAAGCTGCATCAATGCCTTGCAATCCGACACGGTCAGTTTGCGCAGCCTGGTCAAGGCACCGATGCCTTCTGGGAGGGAAGCCAGGCTGCTGCATGCATGAACCTCCAATGAAGTCAGCTGCTGCAGCTCCACAATGCTCTCCGGCAACTCAGCCAATTCCGCAGCATTGTGTATCTCTAGCTCCTTTAGCTCCTGCAGAGCTGAGCCGATACTCTCTTCCAGTCGGGGAATCTTGGCAGCATGATAGATCGCCAAGGTGCGCAGGTGGGGAAGGGATGCCAGCGGGAATGGAAGCTCTGTTGCAGTTTTCTCTAAGAACAGCTCCAAATGCCTCAGACCCGACAAGCTTTCGCTGAGTTTAAGTGCTTGGTCCACACGGACCCAAGATAGACTTAAATGTCTCAGCTCTGGCAGCATTGGCATTGCCACAAGAGGGGCAGTGCTGTCGCTGGTCGCAAGGCTCAGCTTCTCAAGAAAGGGCGGCAGAAATTGGATGGATTCACGCAGTGAGTGGCAGTCAATAACCTCCAGTTGTTTGAGCCTCCTGAGCCTGTTCAACCGAATTGGAGCCAAGGAGAGCTGTCTGTTAACAGGAATGGAGTGTTGGCCCCGCCCTCGCTTGGGCAACGCCAACGACATGGTCGGATGTACGGAAGTAGCAACTGACCGTTCACAGTGGGAGAGCTGCTAGACAGGCTTCGTCGAGCTGCAGAGGACCGCTGTGGTGTTGCTGTCGACTAGGGAGCTCGACAGCTGCAACTGACTGGTCTGGGCGACAGGTGGGACGTCGACCAGGACCTGCAGTTCGACCGGGAGGTTGACGGAGCAGTCCGACGACCTGACAAGTGAGCAGCGGTCGACGAGGGTGTCAGAATATTATTCTTATGTTCTAGCCTGTAGTGGGGTGCTCTATAGCGAGTACAACCCTTCTAGGGTTTGCTATTTGTATCCCCATTTCTGCTAGTTCATTCCTCTTTCTTTCTTCAAACTTTGTCATGCTATTAGAGCAGGTCGATCCCCTTGGATCGATCCTGTGGGTAGGTTACCACCTCGCTTCCGCTGCTACTTTTTCCTCCCGCCGTGCGCCCCGAGGCGCGCGGCGGTTTTCTGCCCGCCGTGCGCCCCGAGGCGCGCGGCGGTTCTTTGCCCGCTGTGCGCCCCGAGGCGCGCGGCGGGCTTCTGCCCTACGTCGCGGCCCCGCCCTGCGTCGCGGCCCAGCCCCTCGAAGCGGCCCCGACCGTCGCGGCCCCGCCCCTCGACGCGGCCCCGCCCTACGTCGCGGCCCCGCCCTGCGTCGCGGCCCCGCCCCTCGAAGCGGCCCCGCCCTATGTCACGGCCCCGCCCCGATCGTCGCGGCCCCGCCCCTCGACGCGGCCCCGCCCTACGTCGCGGCCCCGCCCTGCGTCGCGGCCCCGCCCCTCGAAGCGGCCCCGCCCTACGTCGCGGCCCCGCCCCTTGTCGCGGCCCCGCCTCGACCGTCGCGGTCCCGCCCCTTGTCGCGGCCCCGCCCTCCAACCAGGCCCGTGGTGGGCCCCTTTCACCACACCCCCCCCCCCCCCCCCCCCCCCCCTTCCCCCTGCCATTTCCCGTCGCCCGTCGGGTGGCGGGTATGGGGGTGGCCGGTGTGCCTTCCTCCCTTGCTCCTCCTCCTTCGTCTCCCACTGCTGCAGCTGTCGCTGAAGGGGGTGGTTGTGTGGGAGACTGGGGTTTAGGGTTTAAGGGGGGGTGCGTGGGAGTAGAGCTAGCGGTGTAGCAGTGGGTGTGTATCAGGGGGGTGGGACTGTTTGCGCGAGGTTGAGCGGAGGCTGCCGGCTTGTCGTCCGCAGCACGTGTAGTCCGGGGCGCTGTCCCGGTAGCCCAGTCGTAGCCAGCTGTGCCAGCCGCCCGTGGGTCCGTTGCCCGTCCGCCGCTATTTGAGCCGCGGGGCCTGTTACTCCTGTAGTCCGGGCGCTGTCCGGTAGCCGCTGTGCCAGTCTGCCTCCTGTTGCCCGTGTGTCTGCAGCTTCAGCCGTCGCCTCCTGTCTCCTCTCCCCTCACTCTCTCTCCTCCTCCTCACTTGCCCGTTGTGACTACCACTAGCTTTGCTTATAATTGTGAACTCAAAACTATTTCTTCTTGAACTTGTGCTCAGAATGTGTGGTGACATTGTGATCCACTCTGAGCTTGTTTTGCTTTGCCTGCTCTGCTGATTACACCCCACTTTGGCTATGGGGGTGTGTCAGAATATTATTCTTATGTTCTAGCCTGTAGTGGGGTGCTCTATAGCGAGTACAACCCTTCTAGGGTTTGCTATTTGTATCCCCATTTCTGCTAGTTCATTCCTCTTTCTTTCTTCAAACTTTGTCAGAGGGGAGCTCGACGACAACCGCTAATGGTTTTGGTCGACGGAAGGGGTCCGTCGACCAGGGGGTAGCTCGACAGGAGTTGTGGTCGACCAGAGGGACCTGTTGGTCGACCAGAAGCAGTGGTGGTCGACCGGAAGCACCTGGTGGTCGACCGGGTCGACCGAGTAACCTGCTCGACGAGTTCTGCGGAGGCACTCGAACGTCGTCGAGGTTGCGATGGCGCAGGCGACTGCGGGCTGGTATCCCGGAGTCGATATGGCTCGTCAGGCGCAGACAACAGCCGACGAATGCCCAACGCGCACATCTGCGAGCGTCACACTGTTGTGTTCTACGCGGCAACGCTGGACAGCCGCTCTGCTGCAGCGTTGGCACGCTGTGGACCTGCTCCGTTGGCAGGTCGCCTTTCTGCAGTGCTGGCGCGGCTCCTCTACGCAACGCTGGCAGGCGATCGAATGAGCTGTCCTAGCGGTCGACCAGGCTAGCAGCAGGATTGCTAGGTGCGTGATATAGTCATTGTTGTCATTGCTTGTTTCATTATTCTTGTATTCCAACTTTGCTAGTGAAAACTCTTGCAGTTTTCTCCCGTGAATGTGCAAGCACTAAGGAACCAAGGAAAGCTACGATCACCTCTAGTTGTTCGTGCCAACCCCGTAGTCTAGCTCACTACCTTTGTAGAGTGAATCTCCGCATAGTGCGGTGAGCGTGGATCGAACACGCGACCTTCAGATAGGAGCCGACTTTTGCACCTACTAAGTCGTTCGTAGGCCGGCAGCAGCGATAGTCGCCATGGTCGACCCCGTAGTTGATGCGGGTGTAGCGGACACCTTGGAGGCACATTTTGCTGACGCGAGGAAACGCCACGCGGATGGCGAGTACGGGATGATCCCCTTGGTGATCGCCGAGTTGGGCATCCAGTCGCAGTGGGCGACGGAACACCCTTCCCGTCCTGCTTCTCCTCGACCGGTGCGCAACGAAGGTGGCGTCGACGACGAGGTCGACGGTGGTGCACGAGTCAGCGGCAGCAAAGGCACGAGGCAGAGAGGAGTGATCAAGCTCGACGGTGGTGTCGACGGAATCCAGGCGCGAGTGCAGCGGTCGACGGCTGCTGTAGGGAGCTCGCATGCCGACGTCGATGTTCGACGCCGTTCTCCTCCACGAAGTGGTGGAGGGCTCTCGGTGACAACACACGTGACGGCGGGCAGGATTGCACCGGCGTACGGCTACTTCAAGTTCTCGCCGGACCGGATCTCCGTCGCACCGCTGCAAGGTCGACGGGACCTCATCACCAGGAGGGAGTCTACTGAACCTCAG